CCCGCAACTTCCCCCCCCCAGCCCGTCCGTGGAAATAACACCGCGCCCGCCGCAGGGAAAGGGGCAGCACCGCCGGAGGACGCGTCCCATCCTCGCCGGGAGGAAGAGGAGGAGGAGGAGGAGGAGGTGGTCTGTGAGCGGCCGGATTGATGGCAGCGGAGTCCTGTGGCGCCAGCCGAGCCCCAGGCATGGTGCGTGGGTCGCTCGGGGGGCTTTTCTGGTACCTGTTTGGCCGTTTAGTCGGTGTTTTGGAAGGACGGTTGAGGGTCCGGGGAAATGAAGTAAGTATAATTGGACACATGCAGATTAAAATGCCTGGCTCTGGGAGGAGTGTGTTATCTATACAGAGATGAATTACTACTTCTTTTTTTGGTTTTGTTATTTTTTGGTAGTGTAACTGAGGTTTAATTTTAACCCTATCATCAAAAAAATAAACCAAAACCCAGTGCCAACAGTAAAAATGTCCAGGTTGAAGTGATCTAGCTGAAGACTCTTTCAGCCAGAATTACCTCCTTGATTTTTCCGAGAATGTCGAGGGGAGACAAGAAACACAGGTTCTTTCTGTTACGGAGGTTGTGACAAACCCTAGACGTTTCTGAGATTCAGCCTTGGAGTTTCATATCCTTTTGCTTTTTTTTTTTTTTCCTTTTAATAGCCAGGGATCATATGGCTCTTTGCAGATATAAGGGATTATGAAGCTGCTCAGTAATAAAGCCTGCATATGTCAGAGGAGTTTAACTTTCAATGTCAACTTTAAACTTAATTTTAACCCTGTGTTGCGCTCGTCTTTGGACATGGGCTGTTGGCCGCGCGTGCAGGAGGTGTGCTGAGTAGAGTCTCAACTCTGACTGTACAGGGTAATCTAGCCTTTTCAAAGTCATGAAGCCAGTGAAAGCAGAGGATATTTATCTGTTAGAAATGACTGGTTTTGGCAAGGATATTTACAGCCCATCCAATGCCCGTTGAAATAAACAGAAAAACTCTCGCTGATGATGACTTATGTCTGTGGGCTTCAGACCAGGCTGCCAGCACACAGTGTTGATCCCATAACCCTGCCACAGCCCCCACCATCTGTAATGGGAGGGGAATAAGGTGGATGGAGAGCAGCAGCAGCAGGGGACAACCGGCGGGATTATGGCTTGCTTTGTTTAAGTGTATTTGCCAATTATAAATAGTCTTGGATGTGCGTTCTTCGGGGTTTTAGATGTCATTGGCCTTTAATTAATTGCTAATGGCTTAGTCTGTTGCAGCCTGTTAGGCTGATGAAGCAGCCGACTTGCAACTTGTCTTTCTGTGTTAATGACTATTGTGACAGTGTCTTGGGGTGTACAATGTCTGTTTTGAAACTTCCAGATGATGGAGTACTTGCGTGTAGCAGTTACAGCCTTACTTGGGTAATAGACTCATTTGGGAACACAGAGATTAGCTGGTTGCCAGATTTCCCAGACAGAAGAGACCTTGTCTATTGTCTGTTCTGATTTCTTGCTTATTATAGGCCACAGGATTTCACAAGGAAATTCTGTATCAAGCCATAACTTCAGTGTGGTCTCCACTTGCCATTAAAGACAGGCTCCATCCAAGCACTTTTCAAACTGCCTAGGGGCTCACAGGCTTGAGCTCTAAATGGGTAAGTAATATCTGCTACTTCATGTCTGTAATTAGTATGAGAGCTATTTTGGTCTATCAAAATACGATTTTGCATATAATGCTTATTGAAACGCATCAGGATAATTGCAGTTCTTGTGGTGCATGATCCGGCAGAACCGCCTTCTCCTCCTTGCATGATGTGAAACGCTGCCGGAGGCACCTCAAAGTGAGGGCTTGCTGGTGGGAAATTCTTTATTCTGTCTGAGCTGTGGTGCAAAAATGATATCCTGGTTTTCTTCTTTCCTGAATTTGCCCGTCATGCAATGGTCATATTCTGGTGGGGCTTTCTGCCTTGCCTTGCCATTGCTTTCTGCAGAAAGAGGAGAAAATGCTTTGAGTCCCATCTGGACTTCTCAGCTCTTACATGGGGTTGGGAAGGTGGGCTGCTTCTGTTATCCCATGGCCTGCTGGTGGCCATTGTGGCTTCCCATTAGATGTAGCTTATAAGATGGTTCCCACTATTTTTTTGCCATTGGATGAACCTTGCAATGGAGCATGGATGAAAGCAGCCAGGGTGATGTAACACCACCTCTGTGTGAGCAGACAGTACAAGTCTTTTGGAGCATGTTGAAATGGCATAGGGCAATGGGTATTATGGTACCCAAGAGAGCTCATCCAAAGACAGCACACCTAATTAATGCAGGTATGATGGCACACTCTGTGTTGTAGCTGCAAATTTTCTTCTAAAATTCCTTCTTCCACCACTGGTTAGGTGCACGTACTGTGGATACTGACCTTCAAGACCCTGCCTGACACTAGTCTGTCTGTCTGTCTCCAGTGGTGGGACAGTAGAGAGCAGTGCTGTCTATTTTGCCTCCTCCGTTGACACTGCTGGAGTTGGCTTAGCTTCAAATGTTTCACCTGAGGTTGAAGATTAAAGAGGTAACAACAGCTATACAGCAGGGCCCCCGGCAGAGCTCTGCGAAACAAATAACACAGCCTAATACCATGCTGGTGTGGGGGCAGCCCTGACTGCGCAAGAGGCAGGAGAAGAAAACGTGGAAAATAAGGGGGAAATCAGGGAGACAATTTTCCAGCTTGCTCAGTTACTCTTCCCCGCAGCTGGGAGCCTGTGTGGCGTGTGGATGAAGTAAGACCTCGCGGAGAGAAAATAGCCAGTCCTCTTTGCCAAAGTCTGGCTGCAGCACTAGATAGAGATGAGCAAGCTCAGGTACTGGCTGTGCTTTTACCTTGGTCTTCACACACACTAATTTATTTCCTGTATAAGCGTGCCCACAGTGTTTCTGGTGCCTCAGCTGACTCCCGACACACTGGTGGTAATGTGTACATTCACAACTTGCAGGGCTGCACTGGAAAACATCAGAAGGAAAAGTAGGAGGGAAAGAGAAAACAACAAAGACAGCGGGGAAGAGAGAAAATCTGGCGTGTTGTTACTGAAAGATGGGGCTTATCTAAAAGGAAAATTCACATATGTCTCCTCTCTCTTTTCCAACACCTTCCTGACTTTGTATAGAGTATTACTTGTTCCTTGTCTGCAGTAGATAAAAACTCTTCCAGAGATGTGCGTAGTATTAGAAACTTCATCTACATTTGAAAAGGCAGCTAACATCTGCATGCCTTGTTCTTGGCAATTAGTTTTTTTTCTCCAGGTCCCTTGACAGAAATTTTGAAGGCGTGGTTTTTGCCAACCTTCTGAATGGATGCATCCTCATACTGTCATTGATGGAATGACATGTTACCCTGAAGATGACTCCAGCTGGCTAGGGCAAGCTAAGAAGAGCTGTTGTGGGCATCTTCATTTAAAATAAAATGTAGATTATAGACCAAGGAAAAGTATGTGAGAACATTATGAAGGCAGGCCCAGCAGATTTCCAGTGCTGAGGGGAATGTCCTCCCTTCCTTCTGGAAGCTGGCAGGAAGAAATACTGCTGCTGCGTGGAGCCACACTCTTAAAGGGAGGAGAAATATTAATGGCACTGTGCAGGGAGTCTTGTCACAAAATCGAAGTAGTGAAAATCACCAAAGTGATAATGCAAAGTGGAATGCTTATCGAGGAATTCTTTCCCTACCCATATGTCATCCTTGCCGTGTCCGTCCCCTCGGTGCTGTGCAGTAGTTATTTCTCGGTTCCCTTACTATCATCCACCCCTTCCCACAGCACAGTGTCTTCTGTCTCTCTCTCTTCTGATTACTGAACTTGTTTTCACATGAATATAAAATAACAGGAAGGGAAAAAGAGCTAGTATCTCTCACTTTCCTCTCAGTTAAGCTTCATGTAAGGCACTGTAGACCAGAATTAATTATTAATTCCAATTATATTTTGTGTCTTGGAGATACTGGTGATATTTTCAATTCCAGATTGATGCCTCTTCAACTTCCTTTTTTTTTTTTTTTTTTCCTTCCCCCCCTCATTAATTTTTAATTAAGGAGACTGTTGAGAACACTTCAAACTCATCATGGAAGTCTTCTGGTTTTCTCTCTCTTTTGTTTTAACCTTGCTTTACAAACATTTTATACAATATTATTATACTACATAGAAAGGTATTGGCTGGCTGCTTTGTGATGTATGTAATGTCACAAATGTTCAGCTTGGGTTTGAAATTCTGTGTCATTTTCCGTTCTTATGGCTCATTACTCATTTCCAGTGGAATTCCTTTT